GCAATGCACGACTGCTTATTCTGCATCTTTACCGTTCACACGGTTACTAAGACCAAAATATTTGCACTGGGTGCCCCCGCATGCGCCAAGGCCCTAGGCTGCCATTACATGCTGGAACGGAGCCACGCGTCTCTTCTACAGACCGGAGAGGGAAAGACAGAGCCGGCGCATTCGCCACAGGGCGCAGCCTGGCCCCACGGGCGCACCAAGGCCAAAGGAAGCCAAGGCAATCACACCAAAGTATGAGGAGTACGAGTGCTGGAGTCAGGCAGCTGCGGCTCAGGATGCCCGCCCCGCGAACCCCACGTGCGCCGCCCAAGATCGCGGTTTAGGCCAGGCCGGAAGCGCTGGGCCCGCCTGCCTGGAAGCCGGAAGCAGGCCGCCCGCCTCCGGACCCGGCCCGCACTCACCGTGACTGTCACCTCGTCGTCGTGCAGGATAAGAGCAGAGTAGATGCAGGCGAGCTCGGAGACGGAGGCCATGGTGCGGGCTGCCGGGCACGGTGCTAGTCGCCGGGTGAAGTGAGAGCCTCACCTCAACTCAGCCTTAGCTCCCTCGGAAGAACCGAGCACCTTGGCGGCAGCTGAGGAGAGGAAGCCACGCGCTTGCGCGCAGACTCTTATACGGCCATACGGACCAATTGGCGGCCGTGCTGGACGGAAGAGGCGGAACCAGGAACTTCCGGTAGGGAATGCGCCCAAGGCAAGTCTGGCTCTGCGCTGTTTTTTGTAGTCCCTAAAAGAGAGTCCTAGGTTCCCGGGGTTTGGTTGAGAAGTGGAACTCGCAAACGTTAAAAATATTTCTTAGGAGGTTTTCTAAAAAAAGTCCCCATTGGTTCCACACGCTACTTTAGTTAATAGGAGCTCTACTGCAGTCTTGTGACACTATTTGGACAATCACCTAATTACTAATTACGTTCCCCAGCCTGCAGTGACCTAGAAGGCAGGAGTCATCTTCTATCTTGGAGGCTCATGCTTAAACCGGTGTCTCTGAAATAGTTAAGTACAGGAGGTAAATTCACTGGAACAGAACATTAGAGCTAATGCAGAACTGAAAAACTATGGTCACGACTAAACAGGACACAGTAGTGCATCTGAAGAGAATTACTTATATTAAATTACCAAAGGAAATCTATAGTTCTTATAGGTAGGTCAGCAAACCACTGATAAAATTCAACTGTCCACATAGATTTTTAGAAAACTTGAATACCTTCAATCTCCCGATAAAAGTTATCTACCAAAATCTAAAGCAGTTCACAGTTTTTGAACTGTTCACGGTTTGGAACTTTTGAAGCATTCTTTTTAAAAGCAGGAACAAGCCAGGCGAGGTGGTGCATCCCTATAATCCCAGAATTCTGGGAAGCTAAAACAGGAGGATCACAATTTCCAGCCCAACCTGGGCAATTCAGCAACTTAGGGAGACCTGTGGAGAAGTCTTAAAAATAAATAAATAAAAATCACTGCAGATGTAGCTCAAGGCCCTGGATTCAATCACCAGTACTACAAAACATACATCAGGAAAAAACTATGGCTTCACTGCTTCTGTGTCAATTACCACTTTAATTTAGCCATCTCTGTAAGACAAAATGTATTAAAATCAGAAAGGTTGCTCATTATTCATAGATGATATTGTTTAACCAGAAGTTTCCAGGGGACCCATAGGTAAACAGCTCGTAGTTCAACAGAGTTGCTAGATCAAGATTGTTATACAAAACCCAGCAGCATTTCTGTACCTGATTATAAAATATAGCATTAAAAAAAATTTCAAGGTTGGGGATTTAGTTCAGTGGCACCGCACCTGTCTTGCAAGCGCAAGGTCCTGAGTTCAAGGTGGGGAGAGCCACACATTTCATATTGGAATGTAGTTTAGTGGTAGAGTACATACTCAGTATGTACAAGGCCCCAGATTCTATTCCCAGTACGAGGGAAAAAAAATCTTAATAAGATGTACCTTTTTTTTTTTTTTTTTTTGGCTGGTTCTAGGGATTTGAAGGCAGGGCCTCCCACATGTGAGGCAAGTGCTCCCCCCACCCATGACCCTTATGTTTACATGTATAAAACTTTGACTTGCCAGGTGTGGTGGTGCACGCCTGTAATCATAGCACTCCTGACTGAGGCAGGAGGATCACCACAAGTTCAAGGCCAGCCTGGACTACACAGCGAGACCCTGTCTAAAAAACCCAAAATAAATGTTTTGATTCTCCAACACCTCAAAAACATCATGAACAACATCAGAGGCAACCTAGAGTGATATGGTATGGTCACAGATGAGAAGGCCCTAAATTATGTAATTTCAATCAAAATTCCAGTAGAATGTTCAGTAGAATTTGGCAGGCTGAACTTAAGTTTAAATGGAAGGATCAAAGGCTGATAATAACCAAGGGAATGTTTTAAAGTAAAAAGGGAAAGCTTTGATGTCGCACTGGGCTTAACATAAGCAGACTTTGGGGTTATGAGGAAAATCATGTTTCTTCACCTGTAAATTATAAATGGCTTTAAAGGGTATCAAAGAATGATCACCCTAATCAATCACAGCTCTTCAAAACTATTTAAGAGATTTAAGCAAAACATCAATTTCCCATGCATTTTTTTGTGTGTTGTATGGGATTTAGAGGATTCACATATATTACTTCAAATCCCACTTCCCCACATTCCCCTTAGGAAAAACTTCCAATTAAAATGTTTTCAAGGACTGGGGACGGGACATAGCTCAGCTGCACGGGGCCTAAGCACAAGGTCCTGGTATGGGGGGGGTGAGGGGGGAAGATTTCCAAACTAGGGGTGGTGGCACACACCTGTAAAGTAATCCCAGCACTCTGGGAGGCTGAGACAGGAGGATTGCCAACTGGAACCCAGCCTAGGCAGCTTGGCAAATTGGCAAGATCTGGTCTCAAAAAAAGAGCTTAATGTGACTCTCCTGGGTTCAATTTCCAGTACCCCCCTCCCACAAAGCATATTTTCAAACAACTACTGAATATACCATTAAACAAATGAAGAAATTATCAAGGCTGTAGCTTAGTAGCACAGCGCCTGCCTTGCAAGTGCAAGGTCCTGAGTTTAATTCCCGGTACCAAAAGAAAAATGAAAACATTAACTCCTCTACAGGAACTGAAACAGAACTTAACCATTTAAGGATCTGAAGCATTCCAAGAAACATACAGGACACTTTTTGGTTTTTGTTTTGGTACTGAGAATTAAGCCCAGGGCCTTTTAGGCTACATCCCCATGTCTTGTTTTGGCTTCTTCCCCCTTAAAGACAGGGTATCACTAAATGGCAAAGTTGCCCACTCTAGGCTCAAATTTGTGATCCTCCCACCTCGGCCTCCCGGGAGATTACTACTATTCTGAGTGACAAGGGATTTTCCTTAACTTTGAATCTACTTTTGGTCAGAACGAATATCACACCTTCACTATTAATAAAAAGCAGATTAAACCTATCATTTTAGTTGATACAGAAAAGTTTTAGATAACTTAATAGATTGAATATTAAGGTAGTTGTAGAAGCAAAATAAGTTATGTGTTCTTTTAAGATTTGCTTTTCCTGTAACTACTTGTTTAAAGTGAGGATTATCTGACTCTAACCAGTAACTTCATTAACCTAACAAAGTTACCTTGCGAGGGTGAATTTACAATGTATATGGCCTATCTTGTGTCTGTGACTTGTGAATAGGAACTGGAATTGTATTTACATATCAAAGACCACTAGGGATGAGATAATGGCTAAAAAGGATATAAAGAGGGAAATGCTGAACAAAGGGGGCGAGGATATGGACCAGACTGGTTTCTAGCATTCCCGTCCAATCGAGAGAAATTTTTATTATTTTATCCAAATTCTGTGTCTCTGTGTATTTCTTTCCGAGATTTCTGCAACAGTTACAAAAACAGAAGACTTCAGGGCCGGGGGATTTAGCTCAGTGGTTTCGCTGCCTGCTGCACAAATCCAAGTACCAAAAACAAAACAAAACAAAACAAAACAAAACAAAAACAGAAGACTTCAGCCTCAAAAGAAATCCAAACTTGAGCAGGGCATGGTGATGCATGCCTATAATCCCCACACTTGGGAAGCTGAGACAGGAGGATTGCAAGTTCAAGGACATACAGGGCTGTTGTGCCCAGATTGTGAAGTCCCAAAGACCACCAGGAGGCCGTTTCCGATGTAAGCACACAAGGGTCGTTTATTCAAGCTTAAGCAGGGACTCTCAATTGTCACCGACACAGCGGATCGAGATTGAGAGCCCTGAGTCCCTAACTAGCAGGGTTTTTATTGAGAATACAACAAGCTTTGGTTATTAGTAGCCAGGTGATTGGTTAATACTTAATACATATGAAGTGTAGGGTTTTGGTTGGCTAGGCTTTGGGGGTCGAAGGGGATTACGTATTGGTTTTTGTAAGGGAGAAAGGGGCAAAGATTAACGGCCGATTGTCACATACTGATCGTTAGCAGACCCACCGACTAATGGCCGCATCTATCTTGTGTGGATAGTTAGCTCATTAACTGCTTATCCTACAGACAGTGTGCCTGGAACTCTTTCCCCGGGTACACAGGTGGTTGGGTAATAAACTCAGGAATTTCAAGTGGTGAATTCCTAGTTTAAGCACAAATTTGAGAGAACAAAGGAGACGGCTCCAAAATGGAGTCATTTTGGTCCCACAGGGCTACATATAAGAGCTGTCTCAACCCCCACCAAAATACCCAGCAAATTTAATCAGAGAAAAAATGTGTATTCACCAAGCGAGAATGGATGTTTCACCATGAACTTCAGCATTACTTTTCCTAATTTATGTTGTCCTCAGACCATCTTTCTTCCTTAAGTGTCTAGAATGTACTTGATATGTAGATATTAGTTATCACACAGAAAAGGTGCTGTCCCCCTGCAGTCAAGTTCCTCTGTTTTCCAGTGCTTTCTCTTCATTCAACCCACAGCTAGGAAGAGCCAGGTAAATGCCAAGCTCTGTGCTGGATGACGAGAATATGTGGAACAAACGACCACCACACAACTCTGCTTTTCCAACAGTGCTTTTAATTTCAATTCTTTTGGTATATGTGAATATCACAAAGAATATATACACACAAAATTCTCAACATCTTCCCAGAAGGGCTTTATCATTGGCCCATTCCTGACATCCTTATCTTGCAAGTTTGAATTGTCAGATATGTCTAAAGTGCATTCTTGCAGCTAATCAATAGCAGCGTTTGAGAAATATTCAGACAAGAACTGGAAAAGACAGTAAAAAGTAAAGTGTGTTCTAGATATAACATATTCTTCCTTAATTACCAAGAAAAACACTTGCTTAAAATACCATAGTTGTAAGTGTACAAAAATATACAAAAGAGCATTATAAAAATAATTCATATATATATATATATACATATAAGGAGGAGAAATTCCTCTGCTATTAATATTAAATACAGCAAGGTCTATAAAACACAAAGCCTCCTGGACCCTAGATTTGGAACCATGGAGGAAGCTTGTTCTAGGCCAGTGTAGTAGGTAGCTGAGGACCCTGATGTTGCATAAGGTGACCCAGAAGATGATGTCTGGGCGGCACTGGAGAAATCAACACACACTGACAATGTTCTTTTGCTACTGGGACCATAAATTCATGGTTTCTTGCGCCTGAAACAAAAACCAGCATTTAGCATTGAGTTTTACCATTAGTGACACATTCACCAAAACCAGTTGTTAGAACATTGGAAAACTGCTGTTTTCTTGAGCAGCTGCTATAGAAAGATGGTAAGTTCAAGGCTAGCCTGGGCTACACAGCACCTGTCTCAGAAACCAGAAAGACAGGGAGAATGTAAGTTGTTCCAGAAAACAGGACTTCCCATCCTTACTTGTTGCAACAATTTCCAAAATTGCCTAAGGAATCCAAGTGTTTTAAAAGTTGTAGCCAAGCATGGTGGCGCATGCCTGTAATCCCAGAACTGGGGAGGCTGAGACAGGAGGATTGCCTGGAGTTCAAGGCCAGCCTGAACTACGTAACAAGACCCTGTCTCAAAAAACAAAACACCAAACAAAAAAAGTTGTAGAGATATTTGTAAAGAAGGGATTTACTAAAGTAGAGAAAAAGACTCCCGGGTATGGATTTAATAGAAGAGAGAAAAGATGTGATTCCTTCTCTACTCTGAACTCTGACATTTGGTTTCATTCATTTATTTATTTAGCAAACACTGCCTTCTATACCCAGGCCAGGAGGAAAGAATGACCCCATAAAGCCAGATTCCCAGCTCCATAAAGCTTTAGGAGCACTGGCAGAACAGGACAGAGCCACCAGTCTGTCTCTGTCCCCTGCAGCTCTGATGGCGCCATCCAGCCCTCCAAATGTCCCAGCATTGTGGCCACCTAGGGCACTCTGCAGCAGGGCCCACACAATCCGGGGGACCACATTTACTCCCAAGAACAAGGCCCAGCTGGCTGGGTGGAGTGGCAGGGTGCCAGCACTAGAGGAGGGAAACTCACTTGGGTTGTGCGTGGTGCTGGTATCCTGGTCCCAGCTGAGACCCCGCTCTCATCTCCACAGCCATGGAGCACTATGAAGAAAGACACAGAGGACAAGTCAGCTCTCCCAACTGAGCACTTCTAACTTGGGCTCTCACAGCTGGAGGTGCTGCTCACCAGTGTGGCAAAGGCGCTGAGGTTAAGGCTCCAGCCAGGCACCTGCTCTGGCTCGGTCCACACCTTTGGGACCAGAAGGGCCTTTGGGTGTCATCCTAGGAACTTCTCTTGTTCTACCTCAGGGCGAGCTCTCCAGAAGCTGGCAGCCAGGACCAGAGCGCTGCCTCTGGGCTGTACCCACATTCTTTCCATAGGAACCCTGCACCCGTTTCTATGACCTCCCACCTGTCTGCCATTCCTCTCATTACCCCTGTTACCTCTGGCTCCATTCCTGAGCCCTGTCTCCACACTGAGAACAGGGGCTCTGCACCAAGGAGCCCCAGCAAAAAACAGGTGCCCTCGGGTATTTGGGACAGGCCCCAGGCTGCACTGTCACCATGAAATGGGCCTCAGCATCTTCAAAAATCAGGAAGAGCCACAGTTGTGGAGCTGAGAGCCCGACACCTACTCTTCAGCAAGCAGATAGTTAATGTCCACCCTACCCGTGTCTCTATGTCAGTCGATTCAGACTCCATGCCATCTGGTTGGACAGGTGCTGATGATGAACGTCGCTTTCGATTACTGAAAAAAAAGGGCAACACAGTGCCATGGTTATGTGTGCATCTAATAACAAGAAAAATGCTAGGCATGGGGAAAACCCACTATATCCTTGGTGAGTTCATGACACATCCTGAGGGTGCTGTGTTCCCCAGAATGACCAGCTAAGAAACAGTCACCCCAAGAAGAGCTCACTCACCTGCCTGGTGACTGTTGTTTTAAGGTCTCAATACCAGTAAACTGAACAGCCTGTCCGCCACCCCTTGTTTTATAAACATCGCCCTAAAGCCAAGAGAAAGGGCCACAGTTACACTCAGATACAGCTGAAGGATAAACACACGTATATCATATTTCACATTAACCTCAAGATTCTACTGTTTTATCCAAACTCCCACCCACAAAACCAGATGGTGCTTGGGCAGCCGAGTCTGCACGAATAAAGCACTTTACAAAGTTGAGTTCATCTCTCTCGCTAACAGAAACCCAATACAGTGTATTCAGAAACATTCCTGATTGTGGAGAAAAAGATACTGTAATTTTTTGTTCTACCTATAATTTAAAAACCAAACTACAAGCCAGTGTGGTGACACATGCCTGTCATCCCAGCAATTAGGCTGAGGCAGGAGGGCTGTGAGGTTGAGGCCAGTCTGGACGGCAGAGCTAGACCCTGCTTCAAACCAAAAGGGAACAACAGCATGACCGTGAATTAAGGATCAAGAAAGCTCCCAGCACTGTCTGCACATTCCAAGGCCCTGTGCCTTCCCTCTCGGCTGTCCTCCCATCTTTAAACAGTGGTCTTGCTTTTAACTATTTCTAAGCACTGTCCTCAAAACTGAATTTGAAATAAAAAGTGTTTTCTTTCATGATTGTCTTTTATTTTCCTATTCATTGATTCTATGATTAAAGGGAAGAAAATTCTATAGACAGGTAAGTCTTTTCTTTCCAGAAAAGGGCTCTGGGCAGCTAAATCCTGAGTAATTTTCAGGAGTCAGATTTTTTTTTTTTTTAGGTACCAGGGATTGAACTCGGGTCCTTGCGCTTGCGCAGCAGGCAGCGAAACCACTGAGCTAAATCCCCAGCCCCAAGAGTCAGATTTTAATACAGGCTTTTCTTTTGCTTTTTTTTTGTAAAAACTTTTTAGTAAAAATTGTTTTCAAATCAAAATACTTTTATTTAGACAAAAGATTTCCAAATTTTGAATCAAAGGATGTGATTTCAGTGCTAGCCCATGACTTCCTAGCAAATCACTTAATGTCTGTGAACTGGTAAACATGAGAGTAAAAATACCACTTTTATTATTTACTATTTACTAGAAAGACTTAACTATTTCATGAAGAGATATGAGGCTTACAAATGATAATAGAAGAGCTTGGAAAACTGAAAATACTATGTACTATGTTGTACATAGCAATTATTATTTTAATGCCCATTTTATTTATTTTTTTGTTTTTGAGACAGGATCTTCCTATGTAATCCAGGCTGGCCCTGAACTCATTATGTAGCCCAGGCTGGCCCTGAACTCACGGTGATCCTCCTGCCTCAGGCTTTTCATCTTGAACTAACAGCAAAGACACAAAGGTCTTGCTAAGTTGCTAAGTTGTCTGGACTGGGCTCAAATTTTCGATTCTCCTGCCTCAGCATCGCAGTAGTGCACCACCATGCCTGGCTTAGGTTTACTTTTTAAGTAGAACTAAGCTAGATATACTATAAAGGACAGTTAGACAAAACCTGTGAATGTAAACCTATTTAAGGACATTTAGTCACAATTTAGTAGATCCACAATGTAGATGGTTTGCTGCTAAGAAAAGTTACACCAAATGCCCAGTTATGCTCCACTTGACAATGATGTGCCATCAAAATGGCAGCAGGGGAATGGCTCCTGGCTGATTTTTTTTTTTTTTTCTTATTTCGGTACCAGGGACCAAACTCAGGACCTTGCGCTTGCTAGGCAGGCGGCAGCACCACTGAGCTACATCCCCGGCTGGCTGATTTTTCAAAGTATGTTTGCTCCTGTGTACATCGTTTTTACCTTAATTAGCTTAGTCTCAATCTCTCCATCGGAGGCTAGTTCCTGGTGGGTCAGCATGTACTTCTCACACTTAGCTAGTGCCTTTTCACTGGGAACAGACACCGTGATAGCGCGGGGCACCTGTGGCTGCATGACTGTTTCGTTGTGCACGTTAGAGGCGGGCTTATGATCTACCCATCTTTCCCCTGCAGAGCGGGATCGTCTGCGTCGGACACCAATTGGTAGTGCATTCTGATCAGGTTGGAAGAGGTATTGAGAAACAAGCACAGCCCAGAATTAATCAAAAGGTATTATTAGAAGTGCAGCAGGCTTGGCTACATTAGTGGATGACAGTATCAAAACAAAACTTTTTCACAAGTGGAAGGTCCCGAGTTCGATCGCCGGTACCAAAAGAACAAAACAAACCTTTTACAGAGCTAAATGTTACTTACACAATTAAAACATTCTTTTCCTATTTAAGCACAGAACCAACACACATCTTTTCACACCAGCTTGTATGTTATATATTCTACCTAGGAGTTTCCCTTTCACCAAAGGATGAAAGGAGAAGACCTGGTAATTCTCCTAGTTCTTCAGTTTAGGCACAAATCATTTATTTTGCATTTTGGATAAAAAATCAATATTTATGCCTGCTTTTGTGAGGCAGTTTACAATCTATTGGATCAGCAAGTCAGTTGAAAACATCAGTAAGACCAATAAAAGCCCTAAACATGTCCTAGGCATCTAACAAGAGAAAACACTCCTTACACAAAGAGACAAAAAGAATAACAAAAGCTTATGAAGCTGTATAGAGCAAAAATGCTAAAGGACATAAGTTGTAATGAAACCCTATGTATAACATGATCAAAGCAACATAAAGTACTTCTTTCTGAATGCTTTCAGTTAATATTTTTAAGTCTTAGAACTTCCCAAAAATTTCAAGGACAACAATGGCTAAAATATACCATTTCCCTCTATAACTTCATAAAGGCTCTAAGAATCAAAGACTATAGTATTAAATCAGTCTCTGTCATACAATAAAAAATTAGCTGCCTCCAGTCAAATGCCATGTAGATCTGGGAAAGTTACATTTGGCACATTCAGCCTATGAAGATACTTCCAATACATGACATAGTTAACAGCTTGAAGCAATTGTGTGAACATCTCCTGTTTATAAAATTGAAAGCAAATGGAAAACATCTACCACAGGCCAAAGCCTTCAAAGCTGGCCAAGTATGAGGATCTCAATTTCATAATGCACATCTGGAGAACTCAATCATTTTCCCTGTTACAAAAACCAGATGCAGCACAGCTCAATTGATACAATAAAACACAGCCAATGTAATTTGCCACTAAAGATACCCGCCTCAGCACAGGCAGGAAATTGCATTCCTCACATGGTCTGATCAATAATGAAAAGAAGTCTGGCCCTTAGGATGGACCATTTAGCAGAGGTGAATATTCTTGAACCCATTACGCAGTAATACGTTCTGAAACAGGTTTTGGGAAGCTCATGGTCGGTACAATCTTCTAGCACTCATAACATAAACATTAAAATGTTTTTCCTCACTTCAGAATATAATTCAGTCCACCTGGTTATTTTTGACCAACAAACCTGGACACATAGATACTAACCTTAGGTAACTTCTGCTGCACTTCTAAGAGGATTTTGATTTCAAGGGAGAAGTTAAAGTGCCTCTAGTAAATCCTCTTAAATATCTCAGGGCCAAATTAGGCATTTCATTACTCCCGGCCAGGCGTGACCAGGCCTAGAGTGGTTTCCAGTCTACATACGCTCACAAAATAAGGGGATTGACTAGAGTTGATCAGAAGGACTATTCACCATGATTTGCTCCCTAAAAAGGCTGAAGGCAAAATTTGCAAAGTAAGAAATTAAAGAGATTTCAGAAGCATCTGTTGATAGGTACCTTGGAATTCCTCATTATGTTAGTAATGAGTAATCCAGGTCCCCCAAGTTAAGAAAATCTAAAGCGAATATTTACTATAAGACCAGTTTGCTTAGAAGTTTTAAAAGAGCTATGTTAAGATGTTACTAAATATAAAAATCACAATATTAACTTGGTCCCTTTATTTAGATTCAAAGGAAACTTAATTTTGTAAAAAAAACAATATGAGCAGGAGTTTATTTCAACACCCTTGAATCAGGCAAAACCCTTGTAATTTGAAATAAAAGCCTGGAGATTAAAAGCAATTTTGTGGATATAGAAGCCATCAATAAGTTTCAAATCTACTCCTCTAACTTTAACAGGGAATGTCATGAAAATCAAAAAATGTGGGGAGCTATATAAATAGAGTTTAACGAGACATACTTAACACACGCAATACAGTTACCTTGATATCGTGGGCTGAAAAACACAAGAAGCCAATATTGGGATAACCAGGGAGGTTAGAGGCTATTCAATTAATTCAGCAGATGTGATTTGTAGGTTATGTAGGACAATGGCTTTATTTTTAGACATGCAGTCTCACAAAGACTGTGACTAACTTTCAGAGGATTCAGGGGAAAATGTTTACAAAAAGTAATAATTGGTAAATCTAGGTAAGTGGGAAAAGAATTACTACCCCATTCTTTGAACTTTCTTTGGGTTCAGAATATTTCAGAATAGCTTGAGAAAATAACTTTAAAAATTAAACTTCCAATAAAACAAGAAAAATAAATTTTTTAATTAAATTTGGAAAAGGAAACCTGAAAGAAAAAAACGGAATATGTGCTTGAAGACACTTATATTTGAGCTGAGAAGCTCAGTGGTAGAGTTCAGGCTTAGTATGTGTCAGGGCAGAGGTTCAATCCCCAGCACCAAAAAAAGTAAAAAGAAGATAGAAAAGAAAAATGAATGAAGACTTCCTGTTTGCCAGTTCTGTGCAGAGCTTGCTAACTTCTGCAGCTGCAAAGCAGACTGCTCTCAGTGAGCCAAACTGACCTGCGATAACTGAGCTCACATCTGGGGCCAGATGTGTTCAGGCTGTTTCAGATGAGCTCGGTCTCAATTTTAGGGTGATTCAGTCTTTCAAATTAAGTGACAAAAACAATCCAACCTTGTTCACAATGGACCCCGCCCATCTTTCCGTTGAACTTTGGGAACCAAGTTAGAAAAAAGGAAAGGAGATCAAATCTATAGCTATGATGCTTGGCACTGACCCTGCAGCAATGATCCTCTTGTACGTCTATCTCATTCCTGAACGTAGGAACCACCTCCCTGCCTTCCATCCAGTACATCCCTCGCCTTCTGTCTGACACGGCACAAACTTTACTTTGTCCTGGCTCCCGCTGCCTATGCTTTGCAATAGATGTGACATTGCCAGGTGTGTTGTACGAAGGAATTTTCTGCTCCCATTCCGATATACAGGAAGCCACAGAAATGCTGCTCCAAGAGTTAGAGCGCCTACGTAGATGTGGCTGACTCATGAGTTGCTGGCCGTTGGAAATCTGAGCAATATAGTTACTAGAAAGCTAGAAAAAGTGGAGAGAAATTAATGAGCGAGATGGAAAAACTGAGAGACACAGTTCATTACTCTTCTATCATTTTAGCAAAAGACAACATTATAACTAATTATTTGGATTGTTAGTTAATTTTTGGTATTAAATTTGTTTAAACTCGATTTTTAAAATTTTCCATAGGACTTTAAGAAAGTAATAAATCGTATAAAACAAAAACTTTGACTTTGATAGAAAGTCCCGTGAGCTGAGCAAACTCTGCAGGGCAAAGCTGGTACCCAACAGGTAACTTACAGCTGGCGACGCAGAAGCCGATCTGCGAGTAACTTTTTCTTGGCCCTGCTCTCGATCCCGCTCCCGAGAGGGCCTCTCTGGCTTTTCGGTTTTGGGCTCAGTAACGATAGCTTTCAGCTGTTTCAGTTTTTCATCCTTAACCCAAAGTTGGTTTTGCATTTCCAGCTGCGTGGCTGCCACGCGACGGTCCTACAAATGATCGGTGGCATTTTATCTTCTATTCAGTCATATCAAGTGAGGACACCTAGCTACCCCATCACTTTACCACCTTAAACTGACAGTTCTCGCGTTCTCCCTACATGAACCAAAGCCATATCACAAGTACAGTGATTGAAAATAACTAAAGTACCAAAACAAAGAAAAGAACTAAACTACAACTTGAAGAAAACCACCCAGCTCTGGGAGGAGCACTGGAAGGGTGACACTCACGCATTCCTTCTGCCACTTTGTTGTCATTTCGGCCACCACGCCTTGAAGCCTCGTTTCCAACCTGCAGTGCTCAGAAATTTGTCGCTGAAGTTGCTGATTCTGGTTTTCAAGTTCCTGTTGCAGATTAAGTCGGTCTTTTTCATATATAGAAGTTGTTTTCTCTAAAATCTCAACCTGGGGATATAGACCATTATGTTCAGTAGCTGGCATGTGAACATTTCACATAGCTATAAAATCTTTCAAAACTGCTCATGGAAGCACTATTGTGGAAAGAAAAAAATCATAGAAAAAGCACTTTTTCTCTCTAAAATTTCATCTAAATTCCTACCTCCATTCCCAGAAATGAGATCTTGAAAGACAAGATTACAACTAACTTCAAGCAAAAATCCTTTTCCCCTAGAACTAAGGCCTAACACTGTATTTCTTAAGCAAGTTTCAGAAGAGAGAAAATGGTGCAAGAACGTGTTCCTGCAGCCTCTCCGTGACTCTCAAATGAAGCTGAGGCCTCCCCAGCACCACGGTGCTCCCCAGAGTGCATGCGAGGCCATCCCGAGTTTGTTCTCTTACTATGTGATTTGTAAACCAAATCCACATCCACTTAACATTCACTGAGTATCTTCTCCATTCAAGGCACCATTATCTCATGTAAGCATTAATTCCATGAGATTGTTTTTTTAAAAAAAAAATAATATGGAAGAAACATTTCTAATGATAAGCCAAAAATCTTGGCGAAGGGTATGAAGACAGTAAATGGCAAGTGACCACTAATGAGCAGCAGGGACAGGCACGTGGAGGAACCCAGACTGGGAGCAGCACTACCCCACTGGCACAGACACCACTGTGAGACCCCAGGGCAAACCTTGTGTTCCAGTGTCTTGTTTTTCTTTTCTAGGCGTTCTATTTCCACTTTCTGTCCTGAAATCATCTTTTCTTTCTCGTTTAGTTTTCTTTGACTACAGTTTTCTTTATTTCTAACAGCACTTTCAAATTCGTGTAACAAAGCACTGAAAGTATTAGCTGAAATAAAAGCATGCAAACCAAACTTTACTCCAAATGCAAAAGAACTAAATGGAACCAACTTGTATTTGAAAACACTAGATAAAATGTAGCTTTCAGCAAACATCACTCTATAAGGCTATAAGGGGAAAACAAACTCCAAAAGGAATCAGGAATTTGATTCTCAAATATACAAAAAACGTTCACAGAAGCATCCTTCCTTCTTCCCTCTCTTCTCTTCTTTCTTCCTGAGACAGGGTCTTGGTATATAGTCCAGGTCATCCTTGATCTCTCTATGTCTCCCAGGCTGGCTTTGAACCCATGATCCTCCTACCTCAGCCTCCTGAGTGCTGAGATTATAGGTGTGTACCACCACGCCCAGCTTGAAGCTTGCTTTCTAATACTGAAAGACTTTCATTCTGCACTACAGTATTCTTCTCTCTATGCTTACAGGTAAATAATATGCTTACAAATACAAAAACAAAAATAGCTTGTGATTTAGAAAGATACACCAGTTGCTGTTGTATGTTGGGCTAAACACTGAGATACACTCGCTCGCTGGGTACCCAGAATTTTCTTACATTTCATTTTTCCCCATAACTTCTTGAGGTACAAAGAAATCAAATCCTCATTTTATAGACAGTGAATCTAAAACAATAATCCTATGTTCCCATCACTGTTAGTAAAAAAAAAATAAAGGTTAAAAATAAATAAATAGGGCTGCAGATTTAGCTCAGTGGTTCCACTGCCTGCCTTGCAAGCACAAAGACCCGAGTTCGATCCCCAGTACCAAAAAATAAATAAATAAATAAATAAATAAAGATTGAGGTGGAATATACTCATTTTTTCCTTTTCGTTGAGTTTCTTAAAATATATTCTGTTTGTTTGGTTTTTTTTTTTTGGTACCGGGGATCGAACTTGGGACCTTGTGCTTTCGAGGCAGGCGCTGGAACCACTGAGCTAAATCCCCAGCCCGAGTTTCTTAAAATATAAAAAAAAATCTGCAGGGAAACAATTTCTGTCATTCTAACTCACAAATGCTTTGCATACTACAAGGCATAGAGATGAAACAGCTCTTCCTTAAAGAGGCATCCTGTCCTAGAACTCCAGTTCACTACAAATGCTTTCAATTTCTTGAGCTAACACAACTAGAAGCAGTTCTGCCCTCACCTTGTCTGGTAAACTCATCAATTTTCATTTGTCGCAGGTGATGTCGTTTCTCCAAGCTCTCGATCAGTCTTGGAAGGGTCTGCTCATCATTGAGGTCCAAAATCTCACACAGCGGCAAAGGTGGAAAACTCTGTAGACCCACCTCGGTGACCAAGGCTTCTGGATCGAATCACACAAAACGAAAAGGTTACACGAGAGAGAAAGAGCTTAAACAAGCCTGTGTAATCAGAGCCCCAGAGCAAGGAGCCACAGCGTTTCTAACATTGGCATAACCTTACTGCCTGAAAAATGAAAATTACTGCAACAAAAGAAATCTCATTTATATTTTGGTTTAAACTTTTTTTTGCATTTGGTTCTTGAGAAGGGATGTGAACAGTTGCCTTTTATAAAATAGATTTTTTAAAACTTAAGAGCCAGAGCAGTCAGTGGGTAGAAGCTACAAGGCCACATCATACCATCTCCAACTGGGCCTCCTCGGATCTGGTTTCGGAATCGCCTCCCAGGTGTTAAGCCCCACACGGCCTTGTCTACTGCTCTGGCCACCTCCACCTCTTGCGTCACTTCTGCAAATCTCATGACTTGCTGCAACACAAAACAAATGTGGTTTGTAAAAGACAAGCATCTCCAAGTCCTCTTTCAGAAGTCACTAAATGGAGCAAAAATAGATTATTTATTAGTTCACTTCTATATCCAGTGGTTCTGCCTCAATTTATAAAATGTTCAAAATGCCAATCTTCACCTTAAATAGCTGTCTTCCCTAAAAAAACAACAAGACAAACCATTTGATTTTATGGGATAAATAAGTGAAAGTTACCAGGTTTTCTTCGTAATCGGTGGTCTTTGGATTCACACACACGATCATACGCACTTTTCCTTCTCCATCAAAATAGTTCTTGAACAGATGGGTTAATTTCGAATCTCGATACGGAACCATCTAAAAGAACATTCAAATATAAGAACACAGGGCAAACACACAGAAACAAAACCATACAAGTGGTCGATGCTGACTGACACTGACCTTGTTAGTTCCGTACATCTGGTTCTCTCTCAGGATCTCCATACATGTTCTCAGATTCATCAGTGACTGATTAATGTTACCTGACAGGAAAACGTGCACAGAAGGCATTTGAAAGCAATGTAGTAGCTAAGGTGTATTGTGTATGCCTATGAAATCTCAACTTCATATTGACTATTAGATGGGAACCAAACATTTTCATGGCTCACTTTAAAAAGTGGTCTATACATGGTCTAGACTCTCTCCATTTTTGTTTTTTTTAGACAGGGTCTTGTTCTATAGTTCAGGCTGGCCTTGAACTCACTATGGAGCCCACGCTGGCCTCAAACTCAGTGATCCTCCTCCCTCAGCCTCTTGAGTGCAGGGAATTCAGGGATGCGCCACCACACCTGGCCAGGCTGTGTTTCTACAGTAGCTCTTCTATACAGGTTAAGAAACATCCTTTGGGATTCTACTAAAAGGCAACATTGCAGGTAATGACCCAGCAGGCTTCTCTAGTTTTATAGAGAATGTACATGAGACAGATGTTTAATGTCCTCATATTGAAATCTCCTCTTTACAGCATTCTCCAAAGCATGACCATTTTGGGCCACACTGGCTCCACCAAGAGTCTAGAGTCCTCTCTGGCCCAGAGGGTACATGTGTCACAACTGTTGAGCATCTTAGAAACCAGCCAACTCTGTTCCTTTGGCATCTCAACAAGGATTCCTAAGCAGCATATTTGTTATGTCTGACCAATCTTGTTTGGATTTCTTAGCTAAGGCAAGCGTGACAGATACATCAAGCCTCTAAGACCACAGACATCACTTGATTAGACCCAAGCGTGCCTAAGAATGCATTCATTCTGGAACTGTGTTAAGGGCAGGTAGCTCCATCGTGCTCTGGTCTCTGCGTTAGCAAATAGATGAGTTAGAAGCTAAGTTTAAAGGTCAGTGACATTGCTTTAGTTATGCTGGTTGGGTATAATGTAAATTATCTAAAATGACGAGTATGCTACGGCTGCCATTGACAGAGTAGATAATAAACTGGTAATGTAAGTTTTTGAAAGCTGCAATAAATAAGTAAGATGCTTTACCCACCTGCCTCACGTAATCTGTTCCCTTCCGCTTTGGTTCGGTTAGTTCTTTCACTTCCAGCAAGATCTACCAAGAACAGCTGGCTTATAGTGATTTGTTCTTTTTCCTGAAAGGGATCACAAAGCCAATAACCTAAAATAAGTTATAATGGCTTACAGTGTTCGTGAAGCAGAATCAAGTCACCAAATCAGTAAGTCCTACCCAATGCGATATTTGCTCAATATAAAATGGGCAGGAGAGGCAGAGGACACGTGTTATAGGAGAGCATTTGCTTCAAGTGTATGATAAACACACTCATGACATTAAACCACCACTTGTCTGTTGTCTGGTCTTCTGTCTACATCAGAATATTCAAGGGCCGGGGATTTAGCTCAGTGGCACTGCGCCTGCCTTGCAAGCACTGGGTCCTGAGTTCAATCCCCAGTACCAAAAAAAAAAAAAAGAATATTCAGGCTCCCTGGCAGCAGAGGGACTCGGTCTTCACCACTTTTATCTCCAGCACCCTGCACACTTTTCAGTGAAGTGATTCAAAGGAAACCAAGTGTATATGAAAGGTTGATTTATACCCCATTTCTAGCTAAAATGTGTTTACTTAGCAGCTATAACATTCATTGTGACTATACACCAAGCACTGGATTATGAACTTCATAAACATTACATCCTTTAATCCTCACAAGCCACCCCGCCCCCTTCCCATTATTAAGGATTGAAACCAGGGCCTTCATACTGAGTGACACTCCAAGCCCTTTTTTATTTACTGAGGGTCCCGCTGAGTCACAAAGTTGCCCAGGCTGAACTAAGCTTGCAGTCCTCCTGCTCCAGCCCTCCAGTGTGCTGGGATTACAGGTTTGCACCGCCACACAATCTTAGGAGGAGGTTCTATTATAGTATCAGACTATTATAGTTAGATCAGACAGCTAGTAAATAAATAGGAATATGAATTCAAATTCTGGTAGTCTGCAGAGTCATTTCTTCCTGCCACCTACAAACCACCATGATGTCACAATTTCATGATACAGTATTATGATTACAGTTAAATGGCTTACAGTTATTAATTGTGTACTCAGGCTCAAATACTGTTAATGATTGCTGAAGCTTTCTAGCATGCCAGGTCTGAGGCTGGGGATATAGCTCGGTGGCAAAGTGCCTGCCTAGCATGCCTAGTATGCATGAGGCCCTGAGTTCAATTCCCAGTGCTAAAAAAAAGCATGCCAGGCCTGGCAGCAAATAGTGATCAGCAGGTGGGGCCCCACTGGTCTATCTGCCAGAAGATAAGCAATTGAAACCACTGGCCACCCCGTAACTGTACTTATGCTGAAAAGTAAACTGCTGACATTTAAAAATATTAACTAAATTTCCCCATACAAAAGAATCATTAAAGATAAAATAATCAACTGCACATTCTTATTCTAAGAGATTTTTTAAAATATGTAAATCCTTTTCATAGCAAAATTCCAGGTTCGCAGATTCAATAGCAGCTTCTCAAAACTATACTATTTAATGAGAAAAAAAATTATCTTGAAGTATCAGCTATGCAAATATTAATTCTAGAGCAATCTTTATCGCAATGATACCTTTGTAATGTAACTCTAATTCCAGAAATTGAGGACTGAGGCCAAGAGCAACCCCACACTCTGCAGTTTACCTGTAGGACGTTGTCCCCATCTGCATCCAGCGGAGCCTTCACTAATTTAATGTTGAACACACTATGGGAACGGCTGGACTCATGGTTCAAGTGCGTGTTAGCAATGCGTCTCTTTGTCTGGCCTGTGATGACAGAGAAATTCTTGATCATACCTTTACTTAATCATTTCATTGTACATACTTTCCAATACATCAAAAAGAACTGCTGTCAAATTAAAGAACCCACTCTCAGGGTTCAACCCATATTTTACATTCCTCTACTTCTAGTTGTGTTTCTCACCTCTCCAGAAAACTTCAAAAGCCTCTTCAGTAGATTTCACTTCCACTTGAGTACACCCGGCAACGAATATGTTATGGCTCTTATCTTCCCGAAGCATTTTAGATTGTGGCGGTCTGTGGGAAAGAGAAAAAGGTTAGATTCCTAAGTGATACTAATGTGATAATGTGATATTGAGATACTAATGTGTTCACTGAGGACTAGAACTACATTGCTTAGCAACTCTATTGTTAACTGGAGATAAGCTCACCTAAGACCTCAGAAACATGCCAGAGCATGAAGCTAAGGGCACACAGGTGAGGTTACTTACTAACAGGTAACAGGAAGCAATTCTGTTGTGAAAGCTTTGCTCTGATTCACTAATAAAGCACATTAAACATTCATAAACTAGAGCACAGTAGAACCACTGCAGCACCACTGGTTCTGCTCTCACACACATGACAGAGCTGGGCTACACCAGCAGCAGCAGGACTCTTTCCAAGATCAGATAGTTCAGGAGCAAGAAAGGCGCAAAGGTAGCAGCCAGCCCAGTGCCAGTAAAAACCTACATGCAAACATGCTACAGGCACCAGCCACTAGCATATCTGCACCCTTCTCCTTAGGAAAGAGACACAGCATCACATACACAAAATCAGTGCTCCTCCCGGGGTTCCTGCAACTGTTCCACCTACCAAAGGAATAAGGTAGATGCTGCAGCTTCCAGAGCAGCATTTCTGCCCAGACTAGCAACAAGTACAATGGACCCTAAACCCTCCACTTCCAATATTTGTTCATTGCATTAAGAACCACTAAAATTGTCAGGTGTGGTTGTGCACGCTTGCAATCCTAGCACTGGGGAGGTTGAGGCAGGAGGATTGTTCAAGGCCAGTCTAGAATATACAGCAAGACCCTATCTAAAAAAACTGAAAACAGGCTGGGCATGGTGGCACACACCTATTATCCCACACTGGGGAGACTGAGGCAGGGGGACTGGCTCAAGTTTGAGACCTGTCCGGGCTATATAGTAAGTTCAAGGCCAGCCTGAACTATAAAGCAAGGCCCTGTCTCACAAACAAAAACAATAAAAGTTAATAGCTCAGAGAGGCAGGTCTAACACCACCCTAGCAAATTAAATCTGAATCAGATGGCTAACAGGCACCCTCGTAAACTCATTCAAGGAAATAAACAGGCACTTTTGATGGTCTTTCTTTGCATAAGTTAGTTAATCAAGACAGGGTGCTCTGAAAAGAATCCCAATTTAAATAAACCAAGCCAAAACATGGCACACAGGCAGACACGGAAGTAATGAATGACATTACCAAAGTTTAGGAAAATGGATACACACAAAACTGGAGTCAAGACAGCTAGCAGCTTGAAACAAAGAGGAAAGTAGTAAAATCAACAATTTGATATAAAAATTAAGCATCACCAGATATAGTGGTGTATACCTGTCATACCAGCACTCTGGGAGGCTGGGCCAAGGGGATTGCAAGTCTGAGCAACTTAGTGACTTAGCAAGATTCTGTCTCAAAAAATAAAAAAGCGGAGAGGACAGCTGGGGCCATAGCCAAATGCAAAGGCCCTATATTCAATCCCCCGTACCACACACAAAAAAA